TAATCTGGTTCCTGAACATCATACACTCTTTGTCAAACCAAGAATTACTTTTTGAATGATATGGACCACTCGGCCTACGGACAGCTCCTAGTTCCCTTTGAACACTATTAATTAGTGATTCAGAGGCCAAGATTATCCCTGGGCCACTACTTGTTAGGGCCTGATTGTATAGGCTGAGACACTCCGGAGATGATAAAAAGGAGTGGAACTTTCTTTCAGTATTAGAAGACCATTTGATCCTCCTTGTATAGGAGGCCACATAGGGATCTAATATCTGGGGACCCTAGGAGATGTATATTTGATGAAAGCCCAATGATTGTAACCTAGGGTAGTGGTCGCTCTCCGTAAGGCAGTCCACATAAAAAGCATGGACTGCCTTTCTAAGAAGCTGGGATACCAGCACAAAATCAATAACACTACTTCCATATGAGGAATTAAAAATAAACTCACCAGCTAGATCACATAGGGTACTCCCATTAAGAATTATCTTATTGTGTTGGGCTGCTAAAAGGGCTAACTGAATGCCAGCAAAATTTGTTAATTCATCCTTAGAATGTCTGGCTGAAATCAGGTGTCCTATGGCCTGGAGGCTTTCTTGGAAGTAGAGTACCTCAATCGATGGGGGAACTTGGATTCCCATTCGGGCATTAAAGTCGCCCCCTATAAGGATGTACAGCACTGGGAATTTAGTTTCCATACAAGTAATGTAATTCTCCAGCACGCCCCATTGAGCCTTAGTATCAGTTTGCCTCATCATCTGGGGAAGATAAACGTTGAACACTAACAGTTTGCTGCGTCCTCTCTTAATTAGGAGCGCCATAGCTAAAAAGCCACAGGGGGGCAGCTCCACTGTCTCCACTTTCAAAGCAGTAGAGACGAAGCAAGCTAGACCACCCTTAGGCCTTCTTGTCATAGATTGTCTGGTAGTGGCCAAGGAAATGACCATAAACCCTGTAAGGGATATCTTATCACATGGCCAGGTCTCCTGAAGCAGGACCACATCAAATGAGTAAATATAGTTGGCGAATTCTGTGGTACCACATCTTCTCCCCCAACCTGCTATGTTCCACAAAAGGCACTTACGTGTGTGGGGGAGGGGGGGTTGCCAGATTTAATAGTCATTCTGTGTGATTAATTTTTCCCAGAGTGCCCTTCGGATCTGAAAAGATACACCCATTGTTAAGTGGCAGGGTCATCCTCTTAGGAGGCAAAGGCAGGAAAGGAGGGAGGGGAGGCAAGCCTTGTTCATGGGGCTGTAGGGCTCTAAGCGCACTCCAGTTCGTACTTGTGGCATTAATTGGTTGCTTAGCTGGCAAATATTCAGCAGCATCAACAGACGGAGTTTGAAGGAGCCCTGGATCTTCAAATTTACGAATTAGACATTCTGGAGAGAGCGCTAAGGGAGCTTCCATTGGTAAATCAGTATAGACTCCCTGGAGTCCAAGGGAATCATCAGATAGTGAAAGACTCCAGAACTTGGATTTAACTGCATCCAGACACTTTATGATTTGGGCCCTTTCTGGTTGTGGAAGTGCACAAAAGGAGTTGAAGAGCTGTATCTCCTCCTGGTTACAGAAATTGTCTTGACATAAGTCAGTCTCATAAATAGATGGAATCCCAGAGGCACTGACCTGGGGCTTATTTACTAAGGAACCATGGGTACCCTGGGTTGGTGTCACTTCCTTTGGGGCCATTTCTTTTCAGCTGATCAAGTCAAGGGAAGCTTCCTGGTAAGATGTTACTCGCTGCGGGGGGTTGATTTGACCAGTTGTAGGAGGAACAGTCAGGCTACATCTGAGAGGATGCCAACTGGAGGTTTTGCGGGAATAGGTGTATAATTAGTACATGATGTAGTATCCGAGATGGCATTCAAGATTGGCACATTAATATGTGCTCTGAGGATCTTTTGGGGGCAATAAATCTCCTGCCACTCACAAATTGTCGATTACTCAAGAGTGGCTTAATCGACATATCTTTGAAGACTTTTCTTGGCAGAATGCCAAAGGATCTTAACAGGGATCCTCTTCTGAAAAATAGTTTTGGGGTGTTAGAGTTGTCAAAACTGAGTAGCACTCTAGTGCAGTGTTCAGGGGAGGGTAAAAGTTCAACTTTCTTCAAATCATCAGCTTTTAGCCCCAATAACTGTAATATATGGCCCCTCACCAGCTGTATTGAACCCCAGTGAGGTAAGTTGCCATTAATGGGTTTAATGATGAGGACCACCTGTTTTGACTGTAAGACCAGGTGACTGTTTGCGTCAAAAGATGTAAAGTTCGCCTTCCGGTTTGCAAGGCTTCGGCGGCGGCAGAAATCCGCGATCATGTGCGGTTTCTGCCGCGCTCGCTGCTGGAGTGCCCCCGATCCGGTTGGATTTGGAGGCTATAGTTACCCCGTAGGAGTAGCTGAAGATAGGGGACAACCAGGCAGGGGTCCGGGGGAATCGCAACCCCCCTCCTCAGCCGGCTTAACTCCCTTTTCCGAAGGCAGTGGAGCGGCGGTCAGCAATGGCCGCCACAAAGAAGCCTTCAGCCGGATAAGAATTGTGCAGGAGGAAGTTTGAAGTGAAAGTTACTGGCTGACCCGGGACAAAAAGGAACATAATACCCTGGAATTTAAATACTACTAAAGATACATTGCTCCCAAAGAAGACGGAAAAAGCGGCGAATGAAAGTAAAAGGGAAAGTTTGTTTTTTCTCAGTCTCTTTCCTTACCGTGATAGCAGATGGAAATTGGAAAAACCTGCTTTGGCATCAACAGGTAAAGCCAAGGGGCCAATAAAGATTTCTAAACATTGGGGGAAAAAATTAAAAAAAATTATTTTTGCTATAAGTGGGAAGGGAGAGGAAAAGAATTAATATTAAGATTCTACTGGAGGAGGCTGCTTAGAACTTATAAGACTAGAGCTAAATTGTAACAAGACTTCTAAAAGATATATTTCAACTGGAACTTTGCATCTGTAACCCCAGGAAGAGCAAGTATAAAAAGAAGAAAGTGTTTAAATGAAACAGTTTGAGTGTATTTGGATTGCTTGGTGACTTTGGGACTTTGGAAATTACTATTTGAAAGACTAAAAACATTTGGGTTGTTTTAAAAAATTTTCACAATGGCACTACTTGTTGATGATTTGAAAATCGAATTTAAAAAGCTAAAAGAAGAGGAACAAGAAGGGAAGGGCTCTTCTGGATCTGTTTTTCATTTCTTAGAAATGGCGATTTCTACCTATCAGAAACTTCAAGAACAAAGAGATTGGGATGAAGAAGAAGCCATCTTTAATGAACATGCAACTCTAATTGGGGAAGAAAAGGAAAAGGGGAAAGAGAAAGGAGAAATTAAGATTTAAAAAAACAACCAAAAAAGGGAAAAATAGGATGAAAAATCGTTACAATGTCAGAAAGCAACAGAAAAGAGGAATACAGAAGAGAGGTGAGATTAAGAGGGTGGAGATTAAACAAGGGGGTAAAAAGACTAGATTGGAAAAGAAAGAAAGGGGAAAAGGGAAGAGGAGTTCCAAAGTTTGAAACAAGATGTAAAGAAACAGGATTCATTCAGAGATAATGGGTAAAAATATAATCTAAAAAGAGATTCTGCAAAAGTACATAAAATTGTATTGTTGTATTTGTATTTGAAATAATGTTAGAAAACTGGAACATTATATGATTATAAAATGGGATAAAATATTAAAAGGAACATGCAAAATGTTTAAAATTTAACAATAGAGTTTAATTTGTTATGGATTACTGTTTTAACTATATTATAAATTTATTATTCCTTCTTATTTTAAAATATAGTAGGTAGTTTTAGAGTGTACTAAGCAGAATCAGAATGAAAATTATATATTATTTTAAGTGTTATTTAGGGGAAAGATACAAAGGTGTCATACTTCAGTCAGTGATTACAGGAGAAATTTTGTGTCAATGAGAAAAGATAATAGATAATTGAAACAGAACAGACAAAAGATATAAGCATAATGATTTAAATTGAGATGAAATAAATAAAATAGAATTAAGAAAGTGAAAAGAGGGGAGAAGCTATATAGAAAATGTAGAATGGTAAATAAGATATGAAATGGTATATAAAGTGAGCATGAATTTGAATTTATATCTGCACAAAAAGATGTAACCCGGGACTAAGCCGCTTTCCAAAAAGAAGTTTTATGTTTTTATGTTTTGTGTTTTGTATGTGTATGTTTGTTTATTGAAAATAAAAATTTTATCAAAAAAAAAAAGATGTAAAGTTCGAACTATTGGTAGGATGACATTGGCCAGTGCTTTTGCTGAGGCTTGGCAGTGAGAACCCTGCCGCTGCATCAGGCTGCCGAGCAGTCAGCCTAGGGCACCCATTGGTAGTCCAGGAAACTAAGTAGTTTAAAGTACTTATTATTTTATCAAGCTGGAGCTGAATGCTCGCTGTGGTTTCTGCGACCAAGAAACATTGCTGAGCCAAAAGTTTTGTAAGGGTGGGCTCATTTAAGGATTGGTTGGGGGCTGTAGTTTTAGATAAGCCTTTGTTCTCAACTCGGGGGGCGATGCCCTCAACCATCAGAAGATTGTGACAACCAGCAGCAGCCAGACAAAAGGGAGCAGGAGCTTTCAAACCGAGAGGCCGAGCTAAAACAAAGTCCTCAATCTTGGATTGCTTCAGAGAAGGTTGAGGAACCGGGTCAGTGAGAGATCTGCTCCTTTTCCTTGCCTTCATTACATCAAGTAGCACAATAAAGGAGGAGCTGTGTAATATAGCAGAGTCTAGTCAGTGAAACAAGTCCTTAATCCAAAGGAAAAGGAATCGGGAGTAGAGAAGAAACGAGTCCTAATGCAAACAGTGGCAGAGCTCCTCACAAGTATACCAAGGATCCTGCCCTTCTGACAAAGCAGGGTACATGGGTAAATAAAAATGATAAAATAATAAAAATAGTGGATAAAATAGACTAAATTAGATAAGAGAAATCACATCAAAGCTAGGCATTGCTAGACTTCCAGCTGAAGGAGTAAAATGTGTAGAACAACAACAACAAAGAAGCAGCAGCAAGGCCCTCCTATAGCTGAGGCCCAGCTCTGGCTTTTTGTATAAATTCAGCTAAACCATAGCTGAAATATAACTAAAACTGGATTAGTAATCACACTGCAAAAATTTCAAAAATGTAAAGGGTTTAAAAATAAATAAAAAATTTGAAGAATAAGATATGATAGAAAAATAGTCTTAAAAGCAGGTAATAATTAGAATAGGCTAATTTAATCTTAGTTAAGCAGAGAGCCTGCTTGCCTGCTGCTCCAGGGAAGCTTCCTTCCAGGTCAGCTTCCTTGTTGCTTGTATCCTTACGATTTATATTGACTGTTTCCTAGTATGATTTGATTGCTTATTGTACCCTATGACTATTATTAAGTGTTGTACCTTATGATTCTTGACAAATGTATCTTTTATTTTATGTACACTGAGAGCATATGTACCAAGACAATGCACCTTGGGTGTCCAATCACACTTGGCCAATAAAGAATTCTATTGTATTCTATTCTAAAAATGGTTTGGGATATTTATAAGATTGGAGAAGTTGGTCACAGTTTTACAGAAAGTTTGAAACAGTGCCTGGTTTGTTAAAATATCTTTTAAAACATTGTGATTTTTTTGGAAGCCTTATTTCCAATTAACATCATATTTCAAATCCACATTTTAAATTTTTATTGAATGAATTGATCATTTGCACATGTAGTGTTTTAAACACTACATGTGATGACCCGGGGCATGGCACAAAGGCAACACAGTCAAATAAGCAAGAAATGTCCCTTTAATACCTCCAACTTTGCCTGGGTCTTCCTCTGAATTCCCTCTCCCTTGCTCTATCTCTCCCCTGCTCTGCCCAACCAGCCTTTGCCCTTCCCCAGTTTCTTCCACAATCAATGGAGCTACACTCCCACTCCCTGTCAGCTGCTCGGTCTACCCCTCCGAATCAGATTCCGACAGGGGAATGATACTACATAATACAAGCAGAAAACTCTATTTAGTAGTTGATACACGTTGATTTAAACATAGTGTTTTTTCAATATCTGGTATGCATTTAACATTTATAAGTTTCATATTCTGCATAATACTTGCAAAAGTATATTTAGTTGATAAATTAGATACATTTTTAATCTTTAGACTACATGTAGCTATAGATAACCTTTCTGCAACTTCTGAAACACCCCAGACTAGAGATGTTTCACCAAAATGTTACACCTTTTTTTAATAGAAGAAAGGTTTGGGGAGTTTAGACATGCAAAATAAATGTCCTAAATCTTGTCATAGATTAAGGAACATATTTTCCTCCTTATTAAATGTTACCTCTATCTTCCCCAACAAAAGAACTGAGTTGATTTTTCTCATTTCTGAAGTGGTTTTGGAACATATAACCTCTAAAGGGCTGTAGCCATGCCCAGATTGTTTTATTTAACAAATGCAGTATTAGTATTTTTCCTAAAACTAATAGAAATTCTGAGAATAAAGAGCTAAAGAATTTCATCAGCAAAATAAATATCAAATAACAAAGGACATTTTCAAGAACATTATGAAATGATTAGAAAAACATGTTGCAGTCCTCCCAGGACTAAACAGTTTATTCTCCCAATTAAAGACTGGCTTTCAAATGCTTCTGAATGTGAATCAGAAATTATCTGAACTTGGAAAAATAATTATGGTAGGTAAGGTTTTATCTGTGAAGTGCTTAGATGTATAGAAGTTAACTGCACATATTCATTTTTCTACATATAGCCCTAAATAGTCTGAAATTTGGAATCTAGAAATGTTGCATTCGAGTCCAATAATATTTTCATTAATACTCTAAGGCCCATTGTCTCTTCCTGCCTATAGTTAGATACATGTTGAATAAATATATAAGTATAATACTTTTGACCTGAGGTTACAGATCACACACAAAATGTACACAGATGCGCTCATAGGAGAAGACTGCAAAAATCACATACTGAGGGACAGAGTGTGTGTAAGATAACTTTCAAGGATGATAATTCTGGAAAGAACAGTCAAAATGATTCAAAAATAGAGGGGGTTTTGAGAAAAGGGACATTGACCAAATTTGCTTATCATCTGAATAATGGTCCCCAATATTCCAAAGGAAACTCTGAGGATTTTTCCAATGTCTATAGTAATGAGATGGGGAAATTGGCACACTTATCTTCTTCTGTGATCAGCCAGTGGGCAGCAGAAAATACAGAAAGAAAAGAGGTTGGAAGATTTGTATAATCACTCCTGGTGAGAAGCTGAGCAATTGCCTGGTTATAGCTCTAATATCAAGCTACCAGGTGCATAAAATGAATTTTCTTTGTACCAATCCCACAGTACTATAGAATCTCCTTCATTAACAGTTTATCTCAAGGTTGCTGTGATAGCATATTACTATATCTTTTAAGTATTGAAGAGTATCCTCAAGGAGTCAGGGTAACACTCTAAGGTCTGAGTTAATCAAAAACCTTTCTAGGTAGGGAAAGGAGGGAGGGAGGCAGGGAAGAAGGAAAGAATGAAGGTTTTTGCCAGCCTCCCAGAAGGAAACTCAATGGGGAAGCCAGCAGGAAGGTCGAAGTCACTTCTAGTCCTACTGCCTTTTTTGCCCACTATTGGTTGTTTAATGACATACTTCTCAGCTATTAAGTGAATTACATTAATAACCAGCTGAGAAGACAAACATAAGAAAACCTATATTGGAGCAGATCAAAACTTACCCAGTCCAGTATTCTGTTTCCATAATGTAACACAAAATATTCAATGGAAACCTACCACTAGTAGCCACTGATATCTTCCACAATTTCAATTCCCCTGAAAATGTGCATCTTCGTGAATATTTGCAAAGTCTTATAATTGTAAATGTCATAGGATTTTGCAGTCTTTTGGACCTTATCTGTCCGATGTAACTGTAGAAGTAGGGGTGGGGTATAAAAAAAATCAGGAAGATTTGTACAATGAAAAACTTGGCCATTTTAAAATATGTGTGATGCGTATATGTGTGGTGTGTGATAAAGAGTTTTTGTGCCCCTTATCTTGAGTTATTTTTAAATTCCCCTGGTGCATGTCTTTGCTGGTTGCCATGGTATAGCAATCCAGTCCATATTGTAGTGAGATGGGAGGCCATATAAAATTGTTTTAATAAACAAATAAATCCAGGTGCTTTCCTCCAATTTGCCAAGATCCCATGTTATTAGCTTTTATCAGATTTTGGTTAATTTTTAAAATTAGCATGGGAATTTGGAACTCTTAAAGTTTGAGAACTTGGGATAACATTTTCTAGCTTCCAATTTAATTGTGCTCTACTGTATGTTTAATACTTCCCTCGATTTGACTCAAACTCCAATAATTTAGCTTTGCTGGATTATCTGTTTGATGGATAGATATATTGTACTTGTTTTTGCTCATAGGCCATAACACAGAGAACCAGACCATAAATCGACCATCTAACATAAAATACAACATGTAAGTTTGCGTAACATAAACCTTCAGGTAGAAAATTTGCAAAAGGCAATCACATGTCTCCAGAATGCTGCTATTTACCATCTCCCTCACACAGTGACTCTGGGCAGTATTCAAATAAAAATCTTAATGAGAAAAGATGCTGAAATTATGTATAAAAAACTTTGGGTCAAATATAAGATGTAGTAAAGAATTGAAAAGATGCAGATAAAATTTATGTCAAAAATTTTATTAGATATTCCAAGTTATCAATTAGTGATACAATTTTAGTGTAAAACTTTTTAAAATAGACAATTACATATTTTTGTTCTAAAAAGCCCACTTCTTGATCACATCATTTATATTCTGACTAGACTTAAAATATACTTGACTAAAAAAAAGAATGAGTTATGTTGTCATAGAATACTATATGCACAAGCCTTCTGGACTGATGTAAATGGTTGTGATTTGAAATATATAAAAAGCTTATTAAAGGAAACACTGTTTTCTACTATTGCATTCTAAGGGAAGACACAGCAGTGTTTATAGATATGTTAACAGACTGGCTTGAGATGCATGGTGTTTAAAGCTCTGTTTTTTATTAAGGCTAGTTGTTAAACAGTAATTATTCCTTCATAGGACATTCTTTTGAAATTGCTGATATTTCCAGTGATCAATACTAAGAAATCAATTTACTAGCCTATATATTATAAGTTATATTTTAGTGAGAGCTTATGAGTTTTAAGTAAAACTGAAAAAAGCTAGAATTCCAGTATATATTCTCAAGGCAATATCTGAAATCTAATTCATGGAAAATATTTCTAGTCACTTTATTTAAAAACATTTAAGTCTGCTGCAGTGTCCTGACTTCCATATATTGAACAACAGCTAGATACCTATTATGTACAAACAATAACTTTATGAATTGACGATTTGTTCTTTTTGTCAAAAGCGTTCTATTAAATTCCTTTTCAGCATTTATACAATAATCAATCAAATCCAAGAGGTGATTACTTATTCAGATTATATTCAAAAATATTCTTGGTGGCTTCTTTATCGACTGCATCTAAACTTTATGTCCTTTTTGCATATTGAAAACTTCCATTAAAACTGAATTACTAAAGAATTTAAAGACAAAGGGAGAGAGAGGCAGTGTGTCAAATTTATAGTCAGGAATATTATTACCAAACATTTGCAGGATAGATAATTGTGTGATTATTAAGGGCAGAAATGAAAGTGATGGTTCATTAGTAGAAAATGTCCATGAAATATCAATAAATATACATAAATGGAAGTGGTAATAATGCAGAAATATACATAGGCTCTGAGCCCAGGGCTTTTCTTACTCTCTGGGTACAAATAATTTTAATTCTGCTTCCATCTCTTTAGGAGACTGATCTTCAGTATCTTTTCTTAGAAAAAACTTCTATAAAATGCAAGATTTACTTCTTGATATATATGCATATAACAGTAGTAAAAATTGGTGATGATAAATCCTGAGCTCAGAAAGTGTTCCTGGACTTCGATCCCTTTCTTATGCATGGGAAGGATATTGAAGGACATTAAAGAAATTAATTCAATACCTGTGGCTTTGTTCATTACCTTATTTACAAATTTAAAGATATTGAGGAAAATATCAAGGAGGCTTTTTATCTTTGGAATTCTTTAAAAAAATTCCAAAGATAATTCCAGGGAAATTAATCATTTAATTATTTATGTCATTCTTGTGAACGTTCCTACAGTTAGAATCATGTCTGCAACTTATGAACCTCCCAGCAAAACACTCCTTTAAAGTGCCTCTGTAAAGAGCCACACACCACTCTTTTGGGCCAACTAAGTGGCCATTATGCTTCATTTCTTATGATATGCAAAGTTAAGCAAATTCTCTTATATTACATTATTAATAGCAAAAAGGAAAAGAGTCATCAACATTTAACAAATACAAAGTGTTTTGACTACAATTCTCAAAAACATTCTTGAGTTTTATTTTCCTGATAATCATATGTAAATTAAAGAAGAAACAATCAATTAATTTGATAAATAAACATAATATATCAGCTGACTCAAACCTAGTTACAGAAGGGAAATGGAATGCAGTATTATAAAATGTAACTTTATTAGTTTCAGAGCACTTTGTTACTTGCTGGAATAACAGAAAAATATATAAAAAGCTTAGACTCTTGGATTAAATTGTATCTCATCTATAAATCTTTTTGATTATGGTTTCTAGGAAAGGCAAATACACTTCCACATGAAATCCTGGATCCCAAGTTGGTAATCATGTTCAAAAATGATAAATTTTAGACACTAGTATAGAAGGAGAAAAAAGCAATGACAGGAAAGGGAAATCTACAAAATTATTAAATTGAAATTGATCTAGAAATCAGCTTCAGCTGACCTCAATTTGATGTCCATTACTTCCATTGTCATGACATGTAGTTTTTCTTTGGATTTGGAATGGTTTTGGTTCAGTGAAGATTCTAAAAGCAGTGAAGTTATAAGTAATTCTATAGCAGCCTTTCTATCAGGAAATTTCTCTAGATTATTTGGGAATAGCAATTCTGACAAGTTGCAGTTTCAACACATCTGAAAGGCTACAGGTTGGGGAAACTTAATGTACAAAGCAAGTTTATCTGGATATTGCTGTCTAAAAGTGTTTATGACAAGAACATGCCACCAATGTAATTTTTCAGTTTGGAATGTTTTGACAAGGAACCTTTTTATGGAATCAACATTAGCCAATGCTAATGACTTTATAATGAGTATACCATTGAATTTGCCCATGAACACAGTTAATTGAATCTGTTGTTTTAGATACAGCTGGTGTTTTGGAATCAGCTGAGTCTTAACTGACTAATCACAATTTCTGAATGGTAACCTTTGATTTTTTTTCCCCAAATGCATGTCTTCTTGCTGATATTTGGCTGCTGAAAAATTGTATTTTTTTCATCAGCTTTTATTTAATGTATTTAGCAAAGATTTTTAAAAAACTGCTAAGCTTTTTGATCTACTTTGAGGTTGTTCCTTGATTTATTTTATTCTGTATATAGAATATTATATGTCTTTCTACTCCTTAAACATAGATGTACGGTATACTTTCCTTCTTTGCAGTGCATATAGAACCTGGTACGTGTGAAGTCATTGCTGCCCACAGATGCTGTAATAAGAATAAGATTGAAGAGCGCTCCCAAACAGTGAAATGTTCCTGCTTTCCAGGTCAGGTGGCTGGGACAACACATGCTGCTCCTTCATGTGTAGATGGTAAGTGTAAAGGTGTCTGCTGTGTGAATGCTTGGACACGGCTATAGCTAGATCAAAAGATGGATTTATAGCTCTAGAGCCTGTGAGTCTAGATAGCTGTGGTTGCTGGGAAATTTATATCAAATGTGATCCTATAGTTTAATAATATCAGCTATTCAAACTATGTTATTTGGTATTCTGTGTTTTGTAAGTAACAGGACTGTATATGCTTTTGATTCGAAGGCAGAAGAATGCTTTAGAGCACATGGGAGCAGACTAAACTTCCCGTCTAGCATGTTTTAAACCAAAAGCAACAATACCAAGAAATGACAGCTTCTTTAAATAGTTATAGGCAGCTACTACATGAGTGCCTCTGCATGATCAGAGCATTTGCCTTGGTTTTAGGTTTAAAGCATTTCATAGCCTTCACCAGTTAGTTCTTATTAGGAAATGCCCAGAAGTACAAATTATTATTAACAGCTAATAAAAGTTATATTGAAAGACTAACTTAATGGTGTACTTTGAATACAAATAAACATTTAGTTGTGCTCAAAGTGTCAATGAATTGCAACCATGATTAGCCAATTTGAATAAGGAAGGCTGATGTTTCTACATCTCAGTCCTGCTTTTGAATTTGTACAGCATCACAGTATCTGTCTGGGTAAGCTAAGATTTGAAAAGCACTATAGTTTAGTGGTAAGCCAAATGCTTATTCAGTGTCATTGGTTCAATTTCTGGAATCTCCAAATAGGATTAAGGAAGCCTTGCAAGCATTTCTTCAGTATGGATCAGTCTTGCAGCTAGTAAAGTGGACTGCTACTTTAGTATCATAAACCAGATTAACACAGATTTTATAGGACTGATTGACTGAAAATATCTGCAGATCAGCAGATTGGAGAAGTAACAATAAGCTAGATGGGGTAATAGTCTGACCGTTCTCCAAGTGGAGGCTAGGGAACTTAGCTAAGACTCTGGGCATAACTGAATGTTCTTCAATTACTATTTTTAGAGAAGAAAAATTGTCAAGTACTCCAAAATCTGCTGCTTTTTACTGCACAATTGGATTCATTTCTTTAAGCTTTTCTGATTTCTATGCTTTTTTTTTTACTTTATAATGAAAATGATGATACAATCAGAAGCAAAGTTTGAAGATGGATTAGTAAAACTTGAGAAAATAGACATGCTGTCCCCATAAATAGACATCCAGTATTATGTTTTGTTACAGTCCCAAACTCATTCATCCTCAACAGTTTTGTAATAGGAACCGAGCCTGGCAGAATATGACTGGCCCTGTGACTTCAAGTCTCAGTTGAGATGTGACCTAAGACTGCATGCACTGTCCACACATGGGAAAGTTCCTGAAGTTTCTCAACAGTTTCCATCTGTTTTCTTCTTTTGCAACAGCTAACAACCTTCATTCAAGCACGCATTTTCAATCTTTTTTAGGGAAACTTCACAGATTAATTCTGTTATAACCAATTAACTGGTCTGCAATCTTTCAGGCTGATTGTAGAACCCTTCTAGGTAACCTGTAATATTTATTACTTAGATAGCCAAAATGTGAAATTAATTGAATCTTGCCAAAATAAATATCGTAGCTCACAACTAATAAAATTTTGTATTGAAGAGATATACTCTTATTAGTTTCCTATTCTTCCTAGAAATTTGTGGCCATCAACATCTTGCCACTACTGGAAACGAAATCTGATGTGGAATAAAAATATACAAAACAGGCCAGGAAACCTAGGCCAGTCACATCGCCTTCCTCAATAGTATAGATACAATGGTATGTTATCAACTGCTTAGTATTTTTAAAAGGAAATTGGTACAGTAAATACTGTAGTCAATTTGCTATTTTAAGTGATGTTCTGTCTCTCTCCTGGGAAAAGAAGGATCTGCTTTGCTAAGAGATTTAGGACATAGGACACCAAGATATATTTAATGGAAGAGATGAACTACAGAAAAAAAATTGGTACCTTTTTTGTATGCATGTGATATTTCATAATTGTATAGTATTGTAGGTATTAAGCTGTGCATCAATTATTTAACTGGTTTTAGCAAAACAGTGACTCTCCCACTTATTCAGAAAAATTGACTATAGATTTTTCTTTCTATAAAGAGCTTTTCCATTGAAACTATAACTATTACCCAGTTTTGACTTCAGAAGCCAATATTTTCCATGCAATTGTGTCTTATTTTAACCTAGAAAGGGATTTGTTTAAATATCAACATTTCCTTTTTTCCCTCATGTTGAAAGGTCAGTTTAGCTATAATATGTCAGATTCCCTCTCCCTGAAATCTACTTAAAAAAGTAGGAAAACTTGTTACTGTAAAGTAGGCGTAACACATAGGAATGAAAGCATGCAATCTAATCACCTGTGCAAACTGCTAAAAAAAAAACCCTCAGCCCATCTATATTTTATTGAATAGTGTCATTTGGGATCTATTTGAAATGGCTCAAAGCCTCTGCTGGTACATTATTGATTGGCTTGGCAGCTTGGTTGGTGCAAATGGATTTATATGTGATGCCAAGAAACTACTTAAAAAACATAGGATACTATTCCCCTGAAAGACTAGCATCTCTTAGCAGCTTTGGAAAAGTGCTTCAGTTATGTGAACAAAGCATTTCCCTAAAATTACCATTGAGATTTCATTGAAATCATCATGCAGGTAAGAGTTTCCAGTCAAACATATAGTTCTTAAAATCATTTTGCCATTCCTTAGCAATTAAAGTTCAAAGAAAAAAGAGAAATGAAAAGGGAAAAAGAAATGTGAATGTCAGAATAGAATAGAATAGAATAGAATAGGTTATTTTCTTATTATTTGAGTTATTGTAAAGTTATGAGAAATTCAGAAACATTCTACTTGAAAATAGAAGTTCTTGAGATTATATGGAAGGGTACTTATGGATGGTTAGTAGTTTTATATAGGTAGTCCTTGACTTACGACTACAATTGAGCCCCAATTTTCTGTTGTTAACTAAGACATCGTTCAGGGAGTTTTACCCCATTTTATGTCCTTTCTTGCCACAGTTGTTAAGTGAATCACTGCAGTTGATAATCACTGCAGTAACACAGTTATTAAGTTAATGTGGCTTTCCCATTGACTTTGGTGGCCAGAAGGTCACAAAATAGGGTCAGTGACCCTGAGCCACAGCAATGGTCATAAATAGGAACCAATTGCCAAGCATCTGAATTTTAGTCACATGATGATAGGGATGCTTCAAAGGTTGTAGCGATGAAAAATGCTCATAAGTCGTTTTTTTCAGTGCTGTTGTAACTTTGAACGGTCACTAAATGAACTGTTGTAAGTTGAGCACTACCTGTATAGGGCATATGTACCAGGCATAAGCAATATATGCTAATAGAAGAATGACAGAATGGATGAATAGATGCTGGGCTTCTGGCAAGCTTAAATGGCTGCTAAATGCATGCTATTTATTCTGTTGCCCTGGTGACTTCAACAATAATATGTATCTATAAGCACTAACAGAGAACAAGAATCCAAGAATGAAAAATGAATGAACTGACTATACTTTTAAAAAAAGGAGTGCAAAAAGAGAAACTAGAATGGAATAGAAAACTCTAGGTTGTTAAAAACATTCCTGCCTTCAGCTTTATCAGTGGACATACGTTTAGACTTCTATTTCTTTATGGAAATGAAGAAGACAATTTTTTAAAAAATTGTAAATACAATTATAAATATTTTATATAACCCCTTCCATTTCTTTATTAAAGGAATTTTAGGTTCTTTTTGTAATCAAAATTCAGTTGTACTTCCAGCATTAAAGGTTGAAGATTTTTAGAAGTTACTGACAGTTTATTTATTTGACCTTTACTGACATGATCAATTTCAGGTTAATCTCTAATCAAAATTCAGGTTTTCTTATGCTAATAGGGATATTAATACTTTAAAATAACATTTGAAATTATTACAAGAGGAAACTGAATTCTCTAAAACTAGAAAGCCAGTTTTAGTTCAGTTTAGTTTAGTTTAGTTTATTGTCATTGCACCTTGTACAATGAAATTAAATACCATTAAATTCATACAGTTAAAGCAAATGTAACATTTTAGTCCAGATGCTTTAGTGACATCCTAGATTCTTGTCTTACCGTCAATGCTGAAATATGTTTTGGACAATTCTAAAACTGTAGTATCTTTTTCAGACAATTAAGTTATTGTGAGGACAGATGTTAGTTATTTGCAAGAACTTTAAAATGAAGCATTAGAATTCTCTGTATTTAAAAAAAAAATCAGTGGTGAAGAGTTTCAATTGGGTATGTTTCTTATTATCTTAAGAAGATAATAATTCAGCAATAAATGTTTTCATCTTTACTGACACCTTGCAAAACGTTCTAATAGGGTTGGCTGTCGACATTATTATGTTAGAAGTTTGAAATGTTGGAAGGCTGTGATGTCCAGGGACAAAGGGCACAAAATGAAAAGCAATGGAGAGACATTCTTGATTGATTTCTAAATGGTTCTGCTGCTCTTTCTGGACAAAAATCTATTATGTAACAAAGGTGTCATAATAATATCATTCCCTTTTTAAAAAAATAAATACGTTAAATAAAAATTATTTTAAGGTATTATTTTTCACAAGGGACTTTAGACCATCATTAATTGCTTTGCCAATTTATGAGGACAGCTTTTAATCATAAGTGAAAAAAACACTGTAAATCACTAGTGAGGAAATAGCTATATAATAACTGGGTTCCCACTCAGATATTTCTCATATTGCTCCTGTATCTGCCCCTTACAGTGGATAAATCTATTGTGATGTCTTCTCTTTACTTTTTATGTCACGTAATGGTGCAGCACTACCTTGCTTTCATTGGAAACCGTGATTTTTAGGCTTATGCAGTTCTCCCTTCTGATTATTGCAACAAGAAAGAGTCATATTTAAACTTGTCCAAACAGAGAACAATGGTTAACTTAAACTATGTTGGAGAAAACAAATTATGCTTTATGAATCAGACTGGTTAACAAACAATCAAATACGCTAAACAGACTTCCTCCATTTCAGACCTAATGACAGATTCTGCTTAATTTGAATGAAGTGGTAAAACTGATTGCATAGAAGAGGAAACAGGCAGCCTGAGGCTCGCTGTTTTGTGCTCAGGAGGGCAGCACACCATGCAACATTGCTTGCTTATTTGTCACTTTTCTGTATTCTCAGCTTCTGCACTGCAGCTGCATTACCATCATATAGGAGGGAGCTGACAGGCAAAGAGAAATCAGTGTGTTGCTGGCATGTCAACAAAGTCAGACAGAGATCCTTTTGCCTGTGTCTAGTTTACCAGGCCTAAAAGCTTATGGAGGCAAAAGCCCTGAGAAAAACAGAGAACCTCGAGGTTCCAAATCCCAGCTGTAGTTAATCTTTCATGACAGCTTGTTCTTGATCAGTTGTCATTAACATGTCTTGGACTTTTGAAGCTGTCCCAAAGCAGCAAGGTACTAATAAAAGAATACATACTTTGCAACCAACGTTGATGTGCTGTGTGCTTCCTGTCAATGTCTATCAATCCTTATTCTTTCTTTAAGGATAAGGCCCTGGTTTTGCAGAATATGAGTGGTAACCCTTCCAGTTTTGATCATGTTTCCCCCCCAATTCTGGGTAACTGTGGGCTTGCATTCATATTATTCCAGTGTTACCTGTATGACCACATGTAAAGTTTTCTGTAGAAAGCATAACTAATCAATATATATTTTAAAGTTTCCTTCCTGGATACTTGCTCCAACCAGCATTGTATATTGTGGGTGATGGAATTATGATGCAAACTTAAAAGCATTTCCCACTCTATCTACTCTATCTTTTCTTCACTTGTTGCTTCCTAAAGATTAAGACCTAGCCAGGTCTATTATAGCCAGAACTATTGTAATGCCATTTAGCATGGCAGAATATTGGCATAAAAATTCCTGCCATAATGACCAAATTCTGTTTTGCTTTAGTAATGAAATCAGTGAATGGTTCTGTTGTTATTGTATTAATGTGAGACACATTAAGGAAAGTGATTGATAGTTGCCTCTAGTTCATTTTCCCCCACCAAATGTCACATGCAAGTAGAAAAACCACAAATGTCTGTCTTTAACTTGCATTGGGGCAAGGCTGGATGAATATTGGTAAGTGCTTTGAATGATGGGTTAAGTTGCTTGATTTAATGGGTGGCAGGCAGAAAGGTATAACATGTCAGTTACCAGACTTCTGAACATAGTATTCTTTTGGAGTAATACTAAGTCTTATCTAAAAATAGCCCAGCTGATGGGTCACAGAAGCTGAGGAGGGTGCTGTGAAGTATAAAAGAGTTCTCTAAATGCTTCTGCTTGGCACCTTCCCTACTCCCTGCCTTAATCTAGGTCTCATCTGCTTTCTAAAGTGGCTTGCCTATCTCTCAGAAAGAGCTGGAACTTCCTATCTCTCCCCCTCTCCTATGCAGAAACAGTGAAAATCCTGTAATTTTACACAGATCAATGCAGAATACAAATCAACCTTCTGAACAGGATACACATTTGCAGCAAAGGAAAGAATAAGACAGCTTCTTAAACACAAGTCTAGCAATGTTTTAAAAGAGTGCAAAACCCATCTGTGTAAGGAATCTGCAAAAAGTATGTGTAGAAACTTTGTTTTACATATTTTTTTTCACTTTTAAAATAAGTATTTTGTCATGCTACAATTTGTGACTCTCCTTTTCTGGATTCTCAGTTTAGTCATGGGGAAAAAAGCTGGAATTCCCAATGTCATTTCTGGGGTTCAATTGTTTTTTTCTTTCCCATCTACCTCTTTTTGTTGCTAATTTCTACATATTTTTCTCTACCTGAATGGAAGGTTGATGGCAACTCAACATAGTGTCACAGCAATGTGTATTTGGACAATGAATTGATGAAACCATCTCAGGCAATGAAATATAAAAATTAAAGAACTTAATTTTTAAGTGTTGGCCATGTGTCGGTGTGACTAGGGGTGGAAGGGAGGTGGCTTTAGACCTGAGCTGATGGCAGACAGATAGAAACAAAGCAACACACACACACACACACACACACACATGCAGTTAACAAATATAGTGCTGTTTATTGGTATTCGTGTCTAATTCAAAATGCATTTACAATATTTTTAGTGAATAAACCAATTTTGAAATTATTCAAAGTAAAGCAACCAGAATTCCACTTACACAAGAACCAATAAGCAACCTGTTCCAGACCAATCAGGAACCAGTACGCTTGGTGTTCCTTCAAAATGGACCAGTTGAAAAAGGAACCAAACAAAAATCAGTTTGCCAGCATCAAATATAGGAAGCCATTCACTTCATTTCTGTTGCGTATGAGATGCCAAGAGATACCTCACTAATCAGCTCACTCTGCCTCTGAAGAATGCCAGCCACAGCTGTTGGTGAAACACAGAACACAAAAGAAAACGAGCCCATGGTTTTTCAGCTTGAAAGTTCACCATTGTTTCAGTTTTAAGGAATTTAAGAATCAGACATCACAAAGAAATGTTGACCTTGACAGTTGCATATAACATTTTTCTGTTTCAGGGCAGTTTAACTTTCCACAGGGACCCATTCTGAAAAGTTTGCTTAGGGTCTAGAGATTTTTGTTAGCCCTTGTGTATATGTGTGGTTAAATTCACATAGATATATTACACATGCTCTAGATTTTGAATGTATATTTGTTCTTTGTTAACTTGCATACAATTAATCATAATTGCATGATAGTGTTTTTGAGAAAAGAGGAAGGGAAAGGCAGAATTGTGTCTAAAATGGAATAAAGGACAATTTACAAATGGGCCTCCCAAATTTTAGCATTCTGACACTATCACTTTCAAAGGTATTGAATGAGATATTACTTGTTTGCAACTTGCCTCCAAGAATAAGCATATGTTAGCTGCCACTAAGAACTGTTCAGTGCTACACCAGAACTGAAAATAGCAAAAGGAGAAAGCAAGAAAATAAACTACAATTTATGGATGGCAGTACTTATGGCAAAGAAGATGATGGCAAGTAAAATTAGTGGGAAAAAACATTGGATTTTCTAGAGAAACTAGTTAACTTCCTTTTAAAAAATGAAAAGGTATTACTGTATAAGATGCTAAGGGTTTGAATATTTGAGTAGAAGGATTCGCTTTGCTGTTTAACACTTCCTGGATAAAAAACATCTCTTTTTCTATCTATGAATTTTAAAAAATCACATGCAAAAATGCCTTGGGCTTTTAATCTCTAAAAAGATTCCCCCCGTGGTAATAAAGCCAATTGATAAGGCTTTGACTGATTTTCAAAATTTAAGTTTTGGCTGCTCAACTTCTTAAGCTTCCAGAGTTACTGTTGTTTTAATTACAATTGTCAAGATATTCTTCTATTCTTTCGCAGTGTAATTTTTTGTTTAATATTCATTCATCAAATAAAACCTTTTCCCCAAGTATGTATTATATAGAAGACTGTTTTCATTATTTGCAGTGTGCTTATAATAGGAAGTTATAATTAATTTTAGTGATGATTTTTTTTAAATGCATGCTTGTGTTTCTATAAAGCTCCCTTGTTTTATTGCTCATCCTTTCATCATCTGTTTATAAAAAGTAACCATATAGCTTTTTAATTTAAAAGAAAGGTGTATAGGTTATATTTCAGTGATAAGAATGCAGACTCTGAATGTAGGAAGTCTAGGTTGATGTCCATCATCTTCACAGAATTGGAGTGGACCATTTTGGCTATCAAATCCCATCTTCAGTTCTATGCAAAATGGCAGCTGGAAATATTCTTTAAAAATGTCTGTCTTGCCTTTGCTTGCTGAATAATTGGTGCAACCACAGAAAATAATCTTGGATTTGTTTGATCAGTGGCTGAACTTTGCGTAGGACAGTTTTGTTCAAGCATGTTTGTGTGTATTCATGTAAGTGTGAAAATATCTCAAAAAATTAGAATGGCTTTCCTTGTAACTGTATTATGTTATTATTTTTTAACACAATTTCTTCCTTCCTTAGCTGTGTTTCATGGTAGAATTTGGATGATAAGAATTTTTGTCTCAGTTCCTATTTCAAAAATAATAAATAAATAAATCTGTATATATCAGTTCAATACTTCTGATTTACACTTACCACATATAGTCATTTACATCTAATAGGATATTGATTTGAACTTCCATCTACAGCCAATCTGGAGCTGCAATGATAACATCTGAGAATGTGTTGAGTGCTTCTTACGGTGCATTGTGTAATGTATCATTACTTTGAGATCTTTTGAGTTCACTGGAAGTATACATTTGAGTTAAGAAAAAGTACAGCATGAATCTAATGAAGCTAATATTTTTAACAGCATCCGTTGTTTTCTCATAGCATCCATAGTGCTTCAGAAGTGGTGGTGCCAAATGCAGCCATGTCTAGAAGGAGAGGAGTGTAAAGTACTACCAGATTTGTCTGGATGGAGTTGCAGTACCGGAAACAAAGTAAAGACAACTAAGGTAGGTCTTAACTGAATAAATGAAACCTCAGTGAATGGGTGATAAGGCTCACATTTTGGCCAAACTGCACCATTTTGGTAATGTGATGTTTAAAAATCAAATGACTAGATAGATTGCTGAATGAGAATTGCAGCAATAGCTTTATTGCATAGTACAGATGGGCTAAGAACACCAAACGTTACTGCTGTCTGATGGCTTGGAGATGCCACCTTACTCATCAGCCATTGTCCAAGCCAACCATCCTATGATTCTTACTAAAAATAGTTTACACAACCATGTTGAGAGAAAGGAAAAAAAACACAGTGGGGAGCAATGTAAGCAAAGGATAAGAGGCTTTTTTGGGTTGATTGTTCCATTGGCACTATCAAAATATCCTTGTTCTTGTGTTTAGCTTTTTATTGGTAAGTTGCTACTATTGGGCCTGGCTATGAAGGATTGTTGCGGTTGGTGCAGTGGCAGGAGGTAAAAATATAAAAGAATGTAAGAAGTCTCGTGACAGGCAAGCAATGAAACTCCATAGCTGATAGGATGATTAATTATATGGAGAAAGGACGGTAATCACTTATTTTCCAACCCACCCATCTTTAAGCATATATTATCATTTTTGTAGCTATTAGACATTCAATTATTTTATGAAGAATTTGACCTTAAGTGTGTGTTGAATATCTTGATGTAGTATGAATAGTACATTTTAGTAAAATTCTGTGGATATTTGCACAGACAATCAAAAGCTGAATAATAAAATAAGGGGAAAAAAATAAGTTGTTGGCAAAATTATAAGAAAGGTTCAACAACAAATCTTACCAAACATTTCCCAAATTTGGTCCGTTCAGAAAGCTTAAATATGTTTTCCTTGATAATAGAAAATATTTTTTCTCTATTGAAAATCACTTAGTTCAGGTATTTTTTCCCATCTGTCTTCCTATTATTTCAGAGAAGAGTGACAAAATCAGAAGTGACAAGTGTAGTGCTGATAATAAAAGATCAGTTGTCTAGTTAAAAGAAGCATCATCCAGCTGATAGAAATTGATTTGCAGTTCTAATGGCTATTTAGAAGGAGCGTCTCTGACTCGGAGCATATGAGGTTCACTCAGTATTCCAATGAAGTTCCTAGATAGATGCTGCATCTGTAAGATTTTTGCCCAGGAGCAGGTTTTCCATTCTTTTCCTCTCAATCCAGCCAAACAGTTTCTATCCTGTCACAGCTCCTCCTGTTGGAGCAATCATCTGTGACAGAGAACTACATGATTATTATTTTCATGGCTTGCTGAATACTCTGAAGAACAAGGTATAATTAAAATTTTATCAAACTCATTAGTAATTACATGTATGTCATGGTTAATCAGTTGCATAATTTTGTAATCATTGTTCATATAGTGGAGTGTAATTATTCTTCAAGCTTTGCCTGCTTTGTGTGTCCATCTCCTTTACACACAAACATCCCCAAAGAATTGCTCTGTGAAACGGCAGAGTGTTTTCTTTCTTATCTTTTGCTCTGCTGATAACATACACACACTGAAATGCTTTCTAAAAACTGAGTATCAGAGTAGATCCCATTGACTCAGGTAATCATGATGATTAAAACTACTATCTTTGCTCCATCAACCTTGATTTATCTGTTACCCATTTTTATATTTAATTTTACATTTTTTAGTGTTAGTGTTGTATGTGTGTTCACTTTCAGTGGTGGTATGCTACCAGTTCAGCTCAGTTCGGCCGAACCAGTAGTAAAAAAAACCCTTCAACGATCAGCTGAAACGAGGAAAAAAAGCCTCAGATGATCAGCTAAGAGGAGAAAGAAGAGAAAAGTGCAGGATTGATCTTCCCACCCGCCCCTGTGCTTTTCTCTTCTTTCTCCTCTCAGCTGATTGGCGCTGCAGGCTTCAGCTGGTGTGTGGAAAGCTGCGCACACATATTAGGTGCGCGTGTGCACGATCACCAAACCAGTAATGGAATAGGTAGGATCCCACTGCTGTTCATTTTGGTTCTGAAGGTACTATTCTGAAAATAGAAATTTTATCCTATGGTCATCTTTGCCAGGCCTCTTCCCTACACAGGGAAGAATTTGCACTTCTTCGTGGCATTTTCCTGAAGTGTTTTGAATGAAACATTCTAATTTATTCTAAACATTCTAACACTTTTCTAATGTTCTGATTCATCCCCCACTAGTTCTGTTCTTTTATACTATTTTAATGGCCTTGGAGCAATCTTTCAGAACAATTGCTGAAAATTGGTGAGTGGTTTCCTCAGTTTTGAAGTGGGAAAGATACAGAATTGTGGCGTATTTCCAAATCTCCAAAACCCCAAGGAAAAAAAGATGAATCTTTAAGCTTTACTTCTACCCACTTCACATTATCAACGTATCCAGCATGGACACGTCATCTCTAAAAAAATTATAAAAGTGAAATCCTATCTACCAAAAAATTCATTCTGCCTCTAGGTCACAAGATTAGTTACAACCACTGGAAACAACAGACTGTAGCTGAGTCTTTATTAATTGGGGCATCCCATTCATAGCTGGCAGAGATGATTGGGCTTTGGAGCATGCTTTCAAAGAAATTGCTGAAGTGAGGGAACAACAGAGAACCTGATACCCTCCTAGGGTAAGAAAGAAGTGCCAAGTAATGAGCAACCCGAGGAAATCAGATAAGAATTCACCCAGGCTTGGATGCAAAACACAGCAGTCCCTCTGCTCATTTGGACTAATTGACACACTGAGCATCCTCACCTGTTCACAGAGAACTGTTTCCTATTTTTAAATCAACCATAGTGTCACTGCATTTATGCTCAGATGTATGAGGAATATAGAAATAATCATTCCCTTATTTCCCGAATACAGGTGACTTCTCAAATATTCAAGAGCACCACTTCTATCTAGAAAACAGATTCTGTCTTTGTTGCTCATATCACTAGTATGTGACTTCATAGCTCTCAGCCTGCTATGTTTATTTTATAATTTGTCTTTCTCTGATCCTTCAATTTTTGCATTAAAGCAAATTGTCCCCTTGTTTGTTCTGTCTTTGAAATATGAGATAAAGCTGCCACAGTTACTGGCCAGACATATAAATAATATACATATAATCCCACAATAACTATGGTTCTCTACTGTGTACACATGAATCGAAGGAGTTTTTTTTCCCTGTGATGCTCTTAGTTAGCTATTTTGCAGTAGATTTGCTAAATTGTTCTTGTGAATATATCTCTTATTTGGCATGCACATATGGCCAGGGAGAGAATTTAAATCATAATATTTAAATGTATCCACAATTCTCATGGCTGTCTTGACAGAAATCTCCAGGTTTCCAGTGAAATAGGTGAGAAAGGCCTTTGTAATGGATAAATGAGGTATGGAATATCTGAAGTCTCTACAGTCATTCACAGATATTATATAACCTGACATAGTGCTCAGGCTTCATGGATATATTTGTTATAAAGGGAATGAGTAAGACTGGAGTTAAGTAACAGGTATCCAAACATGTTTTGCATAGCAGGTTAAAATTTGAAGCAACTGACTTTTACAGGCGTTTAGTAACCACTAATTCAGCAACTGTTCAAACTTGCAACTACAAGTGGTAATTACAGAGTCCTCGAAACTCCAGTCATCAGAATAATGGCATGGTACCCGGGATGGTGATTTGTAACATTCCCTATCACCTTCCCACAAGCAACTTCCATGAAGAAGCTGGCAGGAAGTTCGAAGTCATGATCATGTCAGGCCCTTGATTAATGATTGTAATTGGAGACTGCTAGACCTGCCATTCTAAATGACACATTTTTCCCAGATTGGGAAATTTGAGTCTCAATAATTGTTGTTAAATTAGGACATTTTTAATGCTGAATCAAAAGATTTGGGACATAGCAGCTGAAAGAAACTTGGGGTGGCTTAGCCACACCGAACATGCTTTGTTGCATTGGTGATTTCTAGAGGCATGTGTTGGCTCTTCCTCATGTTGTCCACAAATATCGACACCGGATAAGATGGCCAGCCGTGCTATTCTAGCATCTTGGCATTGGCTTTTGTGGTTTTCTGAAAAATTGGAACAAATGTTTACCTCAGCTTTACTATCTGATATAGAAAGGATGGGTTCTTAAAATCATGGTGACAAATACATAAATAAATTTGGCTTATTTTTAAATAATAATGAAGTCATTATTTAAGGTAGCACAATACCTGCATATTTCTGGCTTTTACTTTGTTGACTCATCTGAAGTTGTAGCTGGTGAGGACTCTCTTTATTCACATTGCCATTTGAGCCACCTATGTTGTTCCCTACATTGAAAGCGCTGGCAGTGTTTGTTTCTCAGTAACAATAGAAGTGGCAGCTCATGGAGCTGATTCAGTCCCAGAACTGTGCTTCTGCTTTTTTTTATCAGGCTCTTTGCCTTAGTGGTAGAAAAATTGTTTTTTCCCCAAATACAAGTTGACTAGGCTGGCCAAGCTAGGCCAGTTGAGTAAGAGAGGCAGACATAACAGGATAATAGTAGACAGCATTATCATTACTCCCTCCCATGATAACATAGCTGTTATAATTAGTTTCTTTGTGTTGGGAGTTGGGAAGAAGCAAGAGTTTCTGCAGCTCAGGAGTCTTCCATTTTAGGAGTTAATTTTTTCCCTTCGAGTCAGTACTTCCTCAATCACTGAAGTCTGATTATAAGAACTAGCTTGAATAAGAGGAGCTTGTCCTATGGAGGGCATATTCTCTATAACTCTCTGAAGCTTCCACCCATGTCAGACTTAACACTAAGGTACATTGATATGGACTAATTATTGTAATAATTGGACATGTGGAATCATAGAGGTGGAAACACTGAATTTCACCTAATTCATTAGCATCATACCAAGCAAAGCTTCTATTTCTTGGACTTTAATCACCCTTGTTAAATGCATATGCATTTCTATTAAAATATTTTGAGAGGCTTGCATGCCCCTGGTTTTCTTTTCAGACTGAAAAATGTTAATGTACCTATGCCAGAGGAATTTTAATTTTTTAAAAAATCCCTTCCACTTTAACAGGTCACTTAACATAATCTTAAAAAGGTCACTTAACATAATCTTAAAATTTGAAGCCTGGAAATGCTTGAGGGCATTAAATTATAAGAAATGTTAATATTTAAGCATTTTGGAATAAATTCCGTGGCCCCCATATAAATTTCATACGTGCTCTTTTGCAATGGATTGTTCCTTTTTTTTTTTTGGTTGAGTCTTTTGATTCATGGGATTCTGATGGACAATTTAAAGCTGTTGAGTTGTCTTTTATTGCTTCTCTTTGTGACTGTGCATGTAATTAAAGACATTCCTTGTGTGCATAAGAGAGCAGCCACCACTAAACTATGCTGTTTGTGCATACTGCAGTGTTTGTTTTCATTTGGAAGATGATAGGGATGGGTTCACACAACATGCCAACTTGCTTAACAATCACAAATATATATGGGCTGACAAATACAACTCACTAATCACATAGTAAATGGGCTGGTGTTAAAATACTTTAAATCAGAAACAAGTAATATTATCACTTGTATGTTACATAAAAACTATATAAAGGAACAAATTAATGTAGCAACTCATCTGACTCACATCAATCTTTGGTCTTAGTCCAGTAACAGTTGCTGACTTAAAAATCTATTTTTCCATTTTAATATTGGCCTGGAACAATGTGTTGTCTTTTTTTTTAGTTTTGCTTCCGGAGCACTGATTCATAATGGAGCTAAATGGCTCTTCAGATTTGACAAAATGTGTCTCTGACCACTCAGGCATTCATATGAAAAGTAGCTCTTTCCCCAGGATTATGTATCTGCACTTGGTAATTTCAGTCCAATTGTAGACAGAGATACATTTGGTTTAATAAAGTGCTGACAGATATTCCACATGTGCCCGTGTTAAGTTTCAAAGCACCTTTTCTCCTTTGATTCCAAAGTGCTACACAGCCTTAATTCATTAACAAACTGAACTTTAGTATTATGTAGCACTTAATTGGCAAAGAATATAGATATATGGGAATATAAATCCACACCAAGATGTTAAGGTGCAGAGGTCTCTTTGATACATTCTATTCTGTTTTACAGGTCACACGATAGGTCTTGGAAGAACCACTGTTATCAGATGTCATCTTCATTGATATGGCCAGCGTTCCAAAAATGGCACAATACGGCTTTTGTTCAGGTGCAAGATTCTTCTTGTATGCTCTGCAGAGTTGGAAATATGAGGACTTCCTTGGTATAGGATATAATGCATTTGAGGTATAGGATGGCTACTTTTTATGGGCACTTTATTAATCTTACTCAAGTACATCTGCCTAGGGAATGGTGCTGCAGTCTGTTTCCTTTTGCAAGAACAATACCAAGGATTAGAGAACAGGGGTGGTATTCCTGTCTCGGCAGATATCTTGGAAATTTTTCCTTGTTTTTGAAAATAAAATATTGCATCAGCTACTGATTAAGTAAGTGCAGCCTCAAAGGTATTTAACAATCAATTGCTACCAATTCTACAATTCTGGGTCTTGAATGAGGTTACAACTCCCTTTTGTTCCATATTTTTTATTCCATCTCATGGATATACCTATGAGGAGAGGCGGGGGAGAGAGAGAGAGAAACATTTCTTCCCTTTCTGTTCAGTCAACTATTCTTCATTGCATAGTCTGTAAATGGCCCTAAAGGGGAGAAAAATCTTTCTTTCCTTTTAGCTATTTTTTTTTTGTCTCGAAGCTTGCTGTGTTGATTGCTAAAAGAATTGGAGACTTTAATGGATGATTCAACATAAAATTAGGACATTTACAAATTATTTTTCAGTCAAAATTTTGTTGGTTTCACAGATAACAGGCTTTGAAAATTTGGGTCCAAGAAATCAAACTCTAATCTTTCAACAACAAAAAAAACATCAAGCAGTTGTTCTAATATTTCTCAAGATAGCAGACCAGATTCTTTGCCAAGGTTATGGGAGGATCTACAAGAGAGATAGAAGTTTCAAAAACCTTGAAGAAAGAAATATCTTCTATTTGATTCCCACAAAAGATATTCTCCCTGACCATTTTTTCACCTAGTTCAGCATTTACTTTAATAGGGTTTATTATAGTTTTAAGTCTTTAAAGTTATAAGGATAATTTGTTGGGGAAATTCTATTAAAAACCTGAGAACAAGGAAAGTATTGTCTTTCACTTTGCTGTGTTGTGCTTGGTTGAGTTTAAATTTTATTTGGATACTGGAATTAGTTTAATTACAACTTAGTATTAAATAAATACTTGTAAAGGACAACTGTAATGAGTACAAATCCCTCTCAGGGGCAAATTATTGTTTTTAATAATATATTCTTTATTAAAATAATGCTGAAATCCCTAGTTATTTTACTCCTATTTGTAATAGGGGATGAAGGAGCATCCACTTGACTTTGGTTTATTAAGACAAAGTTTTAGATAGATTTTTTTTGCTAAGGCAAATCAAAGACATAGAACAGTGCTGTCTATGGCAAAATTAATGTCATGTTTTGGTAATCTGGCTTCCGAATGGAAAACTATATTTAAGGTCCATATAACATTTCATAGCAAATGGAAAATTAGTTATGAGGGTGTAGACATGTTCTTTTAACACAACTCATTATTAATTTTTCTTGTTAAGTATTGAAATACAATTCCATTTTATGAACATCTGTAAAAATGTTCCATATCTGTATCCTATTATGGCTACCTTGATTCCTGACATTCTGTTGATATAATATAGGAATGAGGCTGCAAGTATATAAATTGCAAAGTAATATCCAAAGTCAATATCTAATTCCAACTAATTTTGATGGATTGGAGTATCCAGGAAGAATGTAGTGGGCAAGCAGATGCACCTTCCAAACTCCGCCTTGCCCTGACATGTTTTGGAGTGGCCTGGCCTCCATGCTGTGACTGTATGAATCCCTCAACTTTGTTATCTCAACGTTTTTGTAACAGACTATGTTTTACTTGCTTCAAATGCTGTGTAAATACCAGACTGTGAAATATTAAAGTTCGTTTTAATCTCTGCAAGGCGATTCATTTGGTTTTTATTTTTTTCAACCCAATGGAAAATTAGACAGAGCTTTTGTAAGGCAAGTTTGGATTCCTACCAGGAAACTAAAAAGAATGGGACCAAAATGCCTGGGACAAGCTAGCAAGAAAAAAGATCATGTTAAAAAATGGGCATCATCAGGCAAGGGCTGAGAAGGGAAAAAAATCTAGAAAATATCTCATAGCAAATTCAAATGGGACAGAGAGGTGAACATTCAGTTTGGAGTATTGTCAATTGCTCCATTTGTAAGCATCCCTCCAGCTTCCCTATCATATCACCTAAGGCAGAATATATGCAGTTTTCCTCATGTTTCTCACTACACACATACACATAGGATCCACAGAGACAACATGTACCTGCCTACCTCAATTAGGCTGTCTTCATCTGTTTTGCTGTCCCACACATAGAAACAATGCATGCATTACCCTGAGGAGACACAAACACACATACACAGCCATATCAGCCCTTATTAGGCCTTTACAGGCACGAACACAAGCAAACAAACAAAAGTACATTACTTGGTTACCTAAAGAAAACATAGATGCCTCATATGGTTAAGCTCATAAAGAGACTGTAAAAAAATTCAAGACTTACATTCTATATGCTTGCCTTCTTTGTTTTAATTATGAGATTCCTTTGGGTAAAGTGGGAGGAAAAGGTAAATTTTGAAGACATATAGAGAAATGAAAAAAGTGAGCACATGGAGATGAGAAAAAAGGAAATTGAGTAGCGTAGTAAAGTGGTTGGACTGGCATAGGAAAGACCCAAGTTGAAAACTATCTCTCAGTCAGTGAAGCTTAGTAGCTGATGTTGGGCCAGTCACTCTCAATCCAATTTACCACAACCACAGGGTGAAGAAAATGAGAGACCCCTTCAAACCCTGCACAAAAAGCAAGTAGAAATCAAATGAATAAACAATAGTTTTGCTCTTTATACAATGGTATAATAGTATGTATTAAAAAGCCTAAGGATAATTGTAAATTGTATAACTATATAATTGTATGATTGTAAAAAGCTTAAGGATATAACCCATTTCCCTAGGTATGAAACTGCACTGATCTGTTTATTTTGAATAACTGTATCTTGTAACTTTTCTCTTACAAGACTCAATCCAATTGATTGTAAGCGTAGTCCGCAAGGATAGAAAGATTTTATATGGCCCAATAGGTCTTCTACCACCATGTGTTTGTGCATGTGTACATCTGTGCTTTTAAATTTAGTTGTATTGCTAGCAAAGAAGAAACTAAATTATTAGAGCTATGGTAAAATAATAAAGGACAAATTTCTTTGTAGATGGCTAAGTGCATAAAAGTTCTTATATATTGAGAATCAGAAAATATAGGCATCTGTAAAACCTTAAATTAGGACATTTACAAATTATTTTTCAGTCAAAATTTTGTTGGTTTCACAGATAACAGGCTTTGAAAATTTGGGTCCAAGAAATCAAACTCTAATCTTTCAACAACAAAAAAAACATCAAGCAGTTGTTCTAATATTTCTCAAGATAGCAGACCAGATTCTTTGCCAAGGGAGCAAAGAATGGGAGGATCTACAAGAGAGATAGAAGTTTCAAAAACCTTGAAGAAATAAATATCTTCTATTTGATTCCCACAAAAGATATTCTCCCTGACCATTAAAATGAAGCTAGTTTCAGATTACAACCTCTAATTCTGCCCTTTTAGTTTTCCAAATTACAGGTAGTCCTCAACATATGACCACATTTGGGATCAGAATTTTCATTACCAAGCAATGCAGTCATAAAACATGACTGCATCACCCTGGCAATCCAGGCCAGTCCTGGTTGCTGTCGTAACTGCAGATATGTGGGTCATTAAGTAGAAAGTGGAGAGAGTCCCAGATAAAGGGTACAGTGGGAGGTGGGAGGCCCTGGAAGGCCTAGTACAGGAGATGCATGAGTTGTGTGAGGGAGGATGCTGCAGTTCAGCATTAGCTCAGGAAGGACGGGAAAGAATATGCAATATGAAGCCCAGCCCCAGCCTAGCAGCTTAGCAGTATAGCACAAAAAGGCTTCTTGGTGTGTCGCAACTCTGCAACTACAAGGAGTTGTAAGGATAGCCAAGGAGATTATGATCAGGTATGATGTTATTTTGTTTTCAGTGGATTGGATCTTGATGAACTTATAGTGGTGGGTAATCTTTTTGGGCTCCTGTGCCAAAAATTGTGCGCACACTCGCATACTAGCACCCAGAATGCAGTGTGCCCCCCCACCCTCTGTACATGCACACGCAATCTCCCTCCCGCCACCCCCTTACCTGCACTGCGCCTCACAGCTGATTTTTTGGCTGGTTTGATGAAACAGGCCTATTCATCCTGAAAAGCCTTGCAGAGGCTTTTTCCAAGCATCTGGGAGGCTGAAAAAGACTTGACACCAGCAGAAAAATCAGCTGTGAGGTGTGCGCATGCGAGTGAGGTAAGTTTGCCTGCGGCTCGTGTGCCGGCACAAATAGCTCTGTGTGCCACGTGTGGCACATGTGCCATAGGTTCGCCATCACAGTCCTATACTCTCACTTCTTCCACCTGAAATAAAGAATAATTAAAGACCCAGAGTATTGGGCGAAATATGCTGGCTCTGTAAATCACTTAGACAGCACTCTAGTGTAAAGCACTATGGGGCAGTATATAAGTCTAAGTGCTATTGTTATTGCTATAAATATCAGAATCAGCTGTGTGAATAAATGTTTGGGTTGAGCAAAAATGACTTTCCATTCATCAGTGGCAAAATAAGAGATGATGTTTGCCTGAATTTTATGCTATGAAATGAAACTTCTCCCCAACAGTTGGAGGAGAAGCACTAAAAAGGATGTTTCTTTTATCATTAGTAGCAAATTATTTAGTGCAGGGTAAAAAAGGGGTGGACAAACAAAAAGAAGTCATAGTCAAGCAAGAGTCAGCTTTGTCTGAAATTCTGTATCTTTATCTTTTTGGGGAGTAGAATAATTAGGGAACTGTTTTGGCCATTGCTTGCAAAAATTCAGGAATGTCTGAAAATAAATATTTCTTGAGAATTTATCCAAATCCCCCTTTTTTAAAACCCCAAATACAGGCTGCCACCCCATAAAAACTTGCTTGGTCCAAAATTACCAAGAGTGTTCCCAAATGCTTAAAAAGATGTAAACAGTGATTACATTTCTGACTTACAGCTGAATGAGGCCCATTAATTTAGCTCTTCACCCCTAGGTTCTTCTGGTTTCTAGATTTTAGCTTGTGCTCAATGTGTGGAAAATTGAGGCAATTTCCTTGTGCTGGGAATCCACCATCTTGCTGAAACACTTTAAAAAGATGATACTGCCACTGGGGAATTTGGCAAAAGTATTAAAGCTTCTGTTAATTTCATTACTCTTTAAGGTAGTGTTTAATGTAAATTAATGGAGCTGCAAACATTCGGGGCTGTGCAAAGCCCGAAGGTATGCGTGTATTCTTTTTTTGCATAGTTTTTTTTTATACTGAAAGTATTTTAAGTTTAAAATGTATAAAATTGTATGTTTTTTTATTAAGGCTGAAATGTAGCTAGAGGAGATAAGTGTTTCAATTGGTAAGAACCTGCTTTTTATGCCTTCAACTGCATTTCCTCGTCTGTAAGTAATCAATTACATTCTGGTGAAGGGCAGATATGTCACTGGTGGCCGAATAAATTGTTGCCGTGGGAATTCTGATTAATTGGGAGGGAATGCACTTAAGACCATCAGACAAAAGTATTGATGTAGAAACAAGAAAGAGAAGCAGCCTTCTGCCAAATTGCCAATGGCCATTCTGACAGGGATGATGCAAATTTAGGTTCAATATATTGGGATGGCACAAAGCTGTGGGTGGCTGTGCTGAAAGTATTCATTGCATTGTGGCAGCTTCAGACATAACCGTGGAACCAAAATAGTTTCTATTGCAGAGCAATTTAAAGTTTTCCAAAGTGAATTAGATGAATAGATTGTTCCTGAAACAAGGTGGTTGAGGGGTGGGAGTGGAGAAGAGATTCAGGAGGCAGAGACATTCTCAGATTAAAACTATGCATCACCTTAAATAGCTCATAAGTATATGCTGTGTATCTGTAGCAGTAATGTTTTCTTTCTGAATTTAAGTAATGTAGTTTAGGACTGATCAATTTCATTTGAGAGTAATGTACAAAACAATTCAGACAATGTGAGTGGAAAAACTCTGGCTGATATTAGATGAAGTAATTCTATATTATAATAATAAAAAACATTTTCCTGCAAGATATATTTTGAAGAAAGAAGATAATGTGTTCATTTGTATATGTAGCTTAGCAATTCCTACTGAAGCCAGCATTGGATAAAATAGCTGTATACTATAAACAAATCCATTGAAGAAGAGGTATAACATACTGATACATACCACCCACATACATACACAAAAGCATACAAACAGACCATACTGAATTGTCACTGGAACAAGCTCTAAGGAAGCTCAACTGTAAAGTAATATATATTCTTACTCTCTGTAACACACTGATGCAAAAGTACTAAAAGAAAACTAACCTGGAATATGAAAAAAAATATGATTTTTTAATATATTGATTACATATTTCATGTAAAATTTGTTAGCAGAAAATATGTGTGATGCATGTTAACAAGAGGGCATGGCTTTAATTATCCTATCATACTGACTGCTTTGAAGCCAATGACCATTATTGCAGATCCCCCTGTAAGGATAATCTAAATATGAAACACCTGTTTTTTAATTATTTTTCTAGAAAATATTGTTCTGGCTGGGTTGCTTCTTTCCCTGGGAGGCAATTTTAACATCAGGTTCCATGTTCTTTTGAAAGTTACAACCTTTTCAGAGTGGTTGAGACGCTTTACAGTGAAGGCAAAACCGACTTTGCCTCCTCAAAATCTCCAGTGGAATATCACTTAACTAGAGCTCTACCAAGCATGTGTTACTAGGATCCAATCCTCTG